GTACGAAGAGGCTAAGCAACAAATCGAATATTATCTGAAAAAGGGATGGATTGAACCTAGTGCATCACCATACGGAACACCAATCTTGTTTGTTAACAAGAAGGGCGGAGGTCTACGCATGTGCCTTGACTATCGCGTTGAACAAGGTCACAATTAAGAACAGATAGCCTTTGCCTCGCATTGAGGATGTGTTTGATCGTCTCCAGGGTGCGCAATGGTTTAGCGCATCGAACCTCGCACTGGGGTACCATCAGTTGCGCATCAACAATGACGATGTACCCAAAACAGCGTGTCGTACGCCGTTTGGGCATTTTCAATGGCGTGTGCTGAGCTTCGGCCTGACCAATGCACCGGCCTCTTTTCAGAGGGCGATGAATGATGTCTTTCGTGAGGAAATTGGTCAATTCGTCCTGGTTTATCTCGACGATATATTGGTCTATTCCAAGACCGAAAAGGAGCACACAGAACACCGAAAATGGGTGTTAACCAAACTACGAGAGCATAAGTTCTACGCTCGCTTGTGGAAGTGTCACTTCTACAAACGCGAGTTTGAATATCTGGGACATCTCGTGGGGAACAGTGGATTGAAAGTCGATCCCAAGAAAGTGGCGGCTGTTGACAACTGGCCCGTTCCACAAGACGTGGGTCAAGTCAGGTCCTTTTTGGGCTTAGCCAATTATTTTCGCCGTTTCTTGGAAAATTATTTAACCATCGTTGCCCCATTGACCGCACTTACTCGAAAAGGTACTGTGGGAATGGACCAGACAATGCCTAGAGGCATTGAAGTGGTCAAGCAAAAGTTGACCAATGCTCCCGTTCTCGTATTACCAGATCCAACAAAACCCTAGAAGGTAGTCACAGATGTCTCAACAGTAGGGATTGATGCATTCCTCCTACAAGAAGGACGCCCTGTGGCATTCGAGAATAGAAAGCTCTCCCCGGCAGAGCAGCGCTATACGACTTCCGAACAAGAACTGTTGGCAGTCGTCCATGCGCTATGAACAGGCGATGTTACTTGGAAGGTGTGGACTTTGTTGTCACAACTGACCATCGTCCAAACACCTACTTTTCCAGCCAGGCCACCCTCACTCGTCGTCAAGTCCGATGGGCTAAGCTCCTTAGCGGGTTCACCTATGATATTAGATATCGGGCAGGTTCGACGAACATGGCTGACCCCCTCAGCAGATAGCTGATAGGGGCAGCAAACGGGCTTGAGGACACCGAACATGCTGCCGTCTTTGCAGCTTACTTTGGTATCCTCGCTGTTGCTCGAGTGAGTGAGATTACCTTCAGTGGTTTTCTGAAACGAATCCGTACAGGCTATCAGATTGATTCCTGGTTCCAGAACCCACAGAATACGAAGGATCTCTCGTGGGAGCATGAGCTCTGGTGGCATGGAAAAGAATGACATCTTACAAGAAGTGCATGCCAGTAAATACATTGGACACCTCGGGGTTAAGAAAACCTGATTGGGCATTGTCTGACGTATACTGGTGGCCAGGGTTAGGCAATGAAGTCCAGTAGTTTGTTACATGCTGCGACACGTGTGCACGTAATAAACCGAGCATACAAAAACTCTGTGGTTTGCTTCAACCACTCGAGATCCTTGACGAACCTTGGGAGAGTGTATCAATGGATTTCATCAATGGTCTCCCTAAAACACGAGATGGTCATACAGCAATCCTCGTCTTTGTGGATCGTTTGACAAAGATGGTGCACTTCGTGCCTACAACCACGGACGTATCAGTAGAAGATACAGCTGAGTTGTTTGTTGCACATGTTTTCCGTTTACATGGTTTGCCCCGTGTGCTAGTGTTTGACCGAGACCCTTGTTTTACAAGCCGTTTCTGGCTGGAGGTCATTCGGACACTAGGGACGAAGCTGAAAATGTCGTCTGCATTCCACCCTCAAACGGATGGGCAGACCGAGCGCACAAATCGCACTCTTGAACAAATGTTTCGTTTGTTTATTGGCCCAACACAATATGATTGGGACGAGCTGTTGCCATTCATGAAATTTGATGTCAACAACTCGGTCCATCAGAGCACACACGAAAAACCTTTCATCTTGAACTGTGGTCGGCACCCCACAACACCTGCTACGCATGGGGTCGTTAGCTTGAAAATTCCAACCGCTAAGGACTTTATTGGCAAGCAGCAAGAAGCGCTTAAGTCTGCTCATCGTTGGTTGCAACTGGCCCAACAACGCCAAAAGTCTTATGCCGACATGAAACGCCGGGACGTCTCTTTTCAAAAGTTTTTTTAAGTACGAAAAGCATTCGACTCAAATTACCTGGGGCGCGAAAGCTATTTCCTCGTTGGATTGGGCCATTCGAGGTCATCAAGCGGGTTGGGGCGGTGGCTTATAAGCTTAAGCTACCAGACACTTTGCAGATTCACAATGTCTTCCACGTGTCTCTATTAACCAAGTATGTTGCCGACAGCACATAATTACCACCACCAGCCATCGTCCTGGGTGAGGAACTATATTATGAAGTCGAGCGTGTGCTGATGCACCGTGATCGACAACACGGCCGTAAAACAATACGTGAGTTCCTTATTAAGTGGAAAGACTATGGGCCTGAACACAATTCTTGGGAGCCAGAGGAACACTTGACTGAAACAACAGTTCAAGCTTACATGGAAGACTTGGCTCTCCGAGCAGCCCCACAGCCAGTAGATGGTGTTGACCCTGGTCGTAATGTGGTGCGTCGTGCTCGCAGCATTCGCCCCAAGAAGCACTCCAAGACAACGGGGATGATACCAACTAGAGGGGGAGGAGTGTAACGCATCACCTACCGTATTCTCCCGGACATAACACCCGGGGGTATTATGATAACCACAGGGAAAAAGGGGGGGGGGGGTCCTCTCAACGGAAAATCCTATATAATACCCGGGTGGTTATATATGGCATATTTTTATGTAAGAGGATTTTTTTAATTAGACAGTTTGGGTGTTTCAATGGTCGTTTTAACATCACAGTTTGAGACGAGAATGTGAGTTTTGGCGAGAATGTGAGTTTCACCTCTCGGGCCACTTGCAGCGGAAGATTCGACAGCGTGGCACAGCGAGATTGTGGGAGGGTTGAAATGTCCACTTGCAGCGAAAGAATCGCCAGGGTGGCGACAACGAGATTGTGGGAGGGGGAAAATGTCGGCAGATTCTAAGTGAAAGTACGCGCAAAATTTCATCTAGGAAGCGATTCTCGCGATGTTCTCCCGTAAGGAATCTGACTCGATAACAGCTATAATAGGAATCTGTAAGAAAAGGGGGGTGTTATAGAAAATCACCCAAAAAGGGGGGTATAGTAGAAACGAGGTCGCCCATAGCACCCACCCCGCACAAGCTACCCAGGGGTGTACTATCATGGGGGGGTGTTTTGTCCGGGAGAATACGGTACATACCCTAGGAGCTATCCTAACTATGGCTCTCTAAAGCGCTACCTACGTAAGGTAGCGACTTACGGGAAGGAAGGATTGGAGGGGATGAATGGTGATTGGTCCACAATTGTGGACAATCACCCACTAAAAGACAAGCATGGTTGGGAACCAACCCAACCTCCACATTGGTTGGAATTCCAACCAATAGCAATTGAACATTTCCGTTACAAGTTACAACATGTAACATAACAATCCTTATCACAATTGTGTTGCTCTCACTGGTTGCAAATCCAACCATTGTGCCACCTAAGCAAACTCACCCCTAGGAGCTCATTGCCCTTGTTTCCATGGAGGAAGTGGAGCTCCCCAAGGAGGTCTAGGAGGGGTGTGAGCTAACCATGCCCATTCTCAACTCTCAACTTCCAATTAACCAAAATGGAAATGGGATTTTCTCTCTAAGTACAAGACTTTTCCCTCACAAGTGCTCTAGGCTTCAACTACTCTCTTGGTGAAGCTACTCCATCATTCTCAAAGCTTCGACTACCAAACCTTCAAGACTCAAGGGTAGCATAGAGACTATTTTATCTTATATGTGCTTGTTGTTGGCGTTTTATAAGCCTACTATAGACCTTTTTGTGGGCATTAGTTATAAGCCCGGGTCTTTATTGTAATTTTAAGGGCGTTTCTTTACAAGCCCGTGTTACAGGCTGCGTCTGCGGTTGCGGCTGCGCCATGTGCAGCCGCACCATCGGCGCCTGCGCAAGACTGCATGTTCCCCGCGCCTGGCGGGACAATCCACAGGGCCATTCGCGCCACTCAACCGGCCACTCGTCGCTCGCGCTTGCGTGCAACCTCTCCCCGCGCTGCCTCTCTTCTCGCTGTTCCTGCCGTTCCCACGGGTCGCTGCAAGATAGGCTCGCTGCGCGGCAGCTGTAAGGCGGGTCTTACGGGGAGCGAATTGGTGGGATCGCGCTAGTGACTCATTGTACTCATCGCACAGATTTTGGCTCATCGCAAAACTTACCGTTGCAGGGACGATTCTAGTAGAGAGAACTAGTGAGTGAAGATCTGCTTTTGAATTTTGATGAGTGCGCTGTAGAGAACAAGGGAGGATTGTATTAACGGGGTAATGTAAGAATTTTTCTCGACATTCCTTAGCGCGCCCTGCAACATCGCGTACAGCAGCAGCCGCTGTTCGCCCGTTACTGCTAACGGGGCTTCGCCGGCTTCGCGCGCACTGTTTCACCAAACCTCGCACTGCTGGCCCGGCTGTGTCGGCCTACGCTTCGGAACTAGCCCGAACCTCGCTGCCAGCGTAGCACTAGCTAGCTCGCACGCACCGCGTTACCGTTTGCATGTTTCGCGCATAAATGTTCGCTCATGCCTTCGCTCACATTTGATACTCGTTTGACACCTTAGTGCCATCCTCGCTACCTAGATTCATTGCACCCGTAACAGGTAACATGATACAACTGTTGGGCGAGTCCCCCTTGGTTTGTTCGCAGCTCATCTATGATAGTTCAGGCTGGTAAGTAACGGTTCAATGCGGTGCACCGAACAAACTGCCCTGCATTGCTCAGCATCATCCCCAATTAGGATATTCGCGACGCGACTGCCAGCCATGCCTGCCGTAGCAGCGTCGCTTCGCGTCCACATCTCATCTCTCGCCGCGCTGCCGCGCAAATCTTTGCTCCGACCGCTCAAGCCGCTCCTAACGCCGTCTCTCGCCGGGATGCTCGTGGCGCCACCCTCAGCCTCATCGCGCCCAGCCGTAGTCGCCATGGCGGCCGAGCCGCGCGGGCCCCATTCATACGCGGATATAGAATCCTCGTTAAAGGGCGAAACCCTGATCGAACTCTTGCCATCGTGGGCGCGTCGCACAATCTGTCCGGCCGGCAGTGGTTGCGGCGACGGCGAGTGCGAGCTGCTCCACGTGGACCCCACCTGGCGAGACGCGCTGGCGAGCCGACACATGGCGCATGGGGTACAGAGCAGTGGCGGCAGTGCGTGGGGGGGAAGACCTCGGTTGATCGTGTGCGCGGGACCAGAGAGGTCGGGTGCGCCTGCCACCACCCACTCATTGCACCCACATAGTAGCCCTTACTCCGTGCTCTGCCCTTGAGTCGGCTCAAAAATCGCTTCTTTCGCCGAGTAATTGAGCCCTATATCCGACCTTATGCGTCCTTCATCCTCCTTCCATTTAACTCCGCGCCCTCATGCCCCCGCAATATCCGCAATGCTCCACGCACTGCTCGCTTGAGTCTCCAAGCCCTGAGTTTGACCTCGTTGCGTCAGTTGCTCCCAACCAAATCACATGTTTTCACTGAACGCGCCACTTCCTTTCGCATCCTCCCCTTCCCCCTCCCTCCCCCCTCCCTTCCCCGACCCCCGCCTCCCTGCAGGCTCCACGTGGTTCTTCAACCCTCCTCCCATTTCCCCCCTTCCACCCAACCCCTCCTCCCATTTCTCTCCCTTCAACCAACCCCCCTTCCCCTCTCTTCCCTGCCCGACTGCAGGCTCCACGTGGCTCTTCAACGCCGTCCGCCTGCTGCTCGCCCACTCGGGCCAGCTGGCGCTCTCCTATTGGCTGCACTCCATCTTCGCCAGCAAGCTGCGCGCCAGGGGGCTCTCGCCTCTTGGCAGGCCTGATCCTGGGGGCAAGGACGGAGGTCATGGGGGGATGGGGGGAGAAAGAAGAGGGTCCGCGGAGGGATTAGGAAAAAGAGGGGATGGGGAGGGAGTGGGGATGGATGGAGAGGGGTGGGGAGGAGTGAACGTGGTGGTGAAGACACACGAGTGGGCGGAGGGGTGGGAGGTGGGCGAGTGGACTCGGGTGGTGCTGCTGACTGAGAGGGACGTGTGTGGCGTCGCTGACTCCTACCTCCGCGTCGGCTGGTTACCACACAGCATGCCGTGAGTAAGACAGGGATCACAGCATGCCGTCTGGCCGTCCACCTTTCCACGTCCTCGTTTCTGCCTCATGTGTGAGCCCCTTGCTTGCATTGCACCAATCACTGCGGCCGCCTTGCACTGATATCCTCCTCACCACCTCCACTCCTCTCCCTGCCCCCCGCATCTCCCTGCACCCCATCTCTCCTTCACGCGCATGCCCTTCTCCCTCGTCGTCAACGCCCCGCCCGGCCACACCCACTATCCCTGTCCCAACACTCTTGCACTGCCACACATCAATGCCGGTGGCTCCTCATCAGTGATTACCTTCACTCAAATCTCTTTTGGAATCTTTCGTCTCTCCTCTCCTCTCGCTGCTGCATCGCGCCTCATGTGTGCAACCCCCTTCATCTACTCGACCACATCAGCAGTGCGACCCTCACCCCAAGCACACTCGTCTCTGCCATTCCCCCCTCTTCCCCACCCTACTTTTCCTCCCATGCACTCCCGCAGTCGCATCAGGGCCACCCGTCCCACCGCAATCTCCCTTCTCGTTTTTCAACCAGCTTTTCATGACTTTAACCTTCCCACCCTCTGCATGCCTGCCTTTAGGTGCATCGAGGCCCGCCTGCAATCCTGCCTGCATGACCATCATCGGCAAAATATTTATTTTTTTCTTTCCTATCTTTGACAGAACTTCCCACTTCTCTCTACCGACCTTCCTTCCTCTGCCTCCCTGCATGCAGGCGCATCAAGGCGCACATGCAATCCTACCTGCGTGACCATTATCGCTGGAAGCAGCATGCTGCTGCCGTCATCCCCTTGGCCTCCATCGTGCCGCCCGGCAGCCCCTCAGAGCTGCTCTGCCTCTCCCACCTCGCTGCGCTCCTGGGCCTACAAACCGTGGAGAGGGCTGCAGCAGGGGCGGCGGAAGGGTCTGGGCTTGAGGCGATTCAAACACTTGAAGGGAGAGAGGGGGCCGGTGGGAGGGCAGTGGACGTGCGTGTTGTGTCAAGAGCCCTTGCTCAGCTGCCAGTCCCCACAGGTTCGACCTTTTGGCCCTCTCCCTGTGTTGTGCCACATGCTGATGTTCAAGGTGCCTTCAAAGCCAGTTCCCACAGGTGAGGCCTTCGGGCCTTCTCTCTGCCTTGCGCCGCAGGCTGGCGAAGCATCAAGCAAGCTGTGACCTTCATGCGTCACCTTAGCACATGCCATCGTCCCCACTTCAAAGTCTCATTATATTTCCCTCCCTCCTCCCACGTCCTCCTCCAACCCCACCCCTCCCCCCCCAACTTTCTCGTTGGCTGCTCTCCTCCCTCTAACCTGCCACCAACGCTCACTGCAGGCTGGGCGCCTGACCCGGTGACCAAGCTGTGGCCGCGCCACAAGAGCAAGGGGGGGTCAGCCAGGGCCCTCACAGGAGAGGAGCGGGCGGAGCTGCAGCAGTTTGTGGCGTCACAATCAGAGTGTCGAGTGAAGCGGATTCGCACTAACCGTGGTGGAAAGTTTACATGAGACAAGCTGGAGGCCTGGCTAAAAAAGAGGGGTATAATCAAGGAAATGATTAGAGCCTACCCACCACAGTCTAACAGGGTAGCCAAATGAGCGAATAGAATGATTCTGGAGACAGCTCGAGCACTGCTGATCGAGTATGGTCCTGGAAACTCGAAATGGCCACATGCAGTGAGGCACGCTACAGTTGCACGGAACAGAGTATTCACGAACGACGGGGATGAGACATGGGTACCCATGAGGAGGTGGCTTAAGGGGAAACCACCAGTGGACATGTTGCGCGTCTTTGGGTGCATGGCCATTGCTCACGTCCCCAAGGTCCATTGGAACAAGCTTGGGGCCAGCGCTATCTGGTGCGTGCACCTTGGACTAGCTCAAGAGAGCAAAAGATGGCTGCTCTAGGAACCGAAGAAGGGAAGATTCTTTGACAGCCGAGATGTGAAGTTCCTCGAAAACGTAATGTACGGCAACTGGAAGCCGGAGGAGAAGAGCACAAAGCAACTGCAGGAGATGTCACTCTCACTCGATCCTGATCAGGAAGAGCCCCCTCAAGCAACCCCCGAGGAGATTACGGAGGACGGGAACAAAAGTACCGAACCTGTCGAGAAGCCAAATGAAGAGCACGACATCCAAGCACAGGAAGACAACGCGCTGCAGCACCTCCTCACACAAGTCAAGGCTCCAACTTTCCCGAAGAGGGGGAGGATCCAAACACGTTCATTGACCAAGAGGGTGTCATCAGTGAATGCAGCAAACATTATGAGGACAGCAGCCTTAAGGTTAAGAAAAGTAGGTTCACGGGGAGAAGGGGAGCGTCAGGAGAGGGAGGAGGCCCTGCTAGTTTTGGGGGATGAAGTAGAGGCTGAAAGCAAGGAGGAGACGGCCTACTGCTTCATGGCCCCTGCACAATCCGAGAGCATGGAGGAAGCACTTGCCGGAAAGGACAGGGAAAAGTGGTTAGCCTCGAGAGACGTCGAGTACAACAGTTAGTTGAAGAATAACACGTGGGAACTCGTGCCGTTGCCGGAAGGGAAGAAAGCAAGTCAGTGCAAGTGGGTGGTGGGAATCAAGACAGACGAGAAGTGTGAAATAATTGTGTACAAGAGCAGGCTGGTGGTCAAGGGATTTCAGCAAAGGGAAGGTGATTTCAGCGAAATATTCTCTCCCACAGCAAATCCCCCACTCTCAGGGTTCTTCTCGCTGATGCAGCCGTGAGTGGATGGTATATAGTGCAGATGGATGTGACCACTGCTTTTCTTTACGGAGTGATCGAGGAGGAGGTCTACATGGATCAGCCGCCTGGGTATGAAGACGGCACGGGAAGAGTGTGCAAGTTAAACAAAGCCATCTACGGCTTGAAGCAAGCACCAAGGTGTTGGTACCAGAAGCTATCTGCTGCTCTGGGGGGAATTGGGGTTTAGGCCAAGCAGCTGCAACGAGAGCCTGTTCCTGAAGGGAGAGAAGGAGAAGATGGTGCTGTTCCTTGTGTATGTCGACTACATACTCCTGTTCGGAAGCATCATGGTAGAGATTCAGGAAGTATAGAACGGGCTGATGGAGAGATTCCAATTCAAGGTGCTTGGGGCAGTTTCCTACTACATCGGAATGCACATCGAGCGAGACATGGGCCACAGATGGCTGAAACTTTATCAGGGAAAATACATCACGAAACTGCTAGAGAAGTACCAACAAAAACACGGGCGAAAGGTGTCAACCCCACTCCCATCCGAATTCAAGCTGGTGAAAGCAGGAGACAGGGAGGAAGTTCACGAAGCGGATCGGCGGCACTATCAGTCAAAGGTGGGAAGTCTTTTCTATGCAGCAGTGCACACACGACCTGATATTTTCTTTGCCGTTAGTCGGCTTGCAAGGACAATGTCATGTACATCAGAGGAGCAGGTGGATGCAGCGGAAAAGCTTGCGAGATACCTGAACTCCTATCTAACCGTGAAAGTGCAGTTCTCAGCATCAGCGCAGAAGAGACAAAAGGGTGTAGAACTGCTAAAGGACAAGGACAGAAGCTCGAGGAGAACAAGTTTTTTCTAACGTGCTTTTCGGATGCCACGCGGACATCAGAGGCTGAGGATTCATCTTCGGTAGGAGGATACGTGTACATGGTGGGGGGAGGACCGGTGAGCTGGAGGTCTAAGAAACAGAATGAATCGGCACTTTCCTTTGCCGAGTCCGAGTACATGGCCATGCTTCATGCAACAAAGGAGATCATATGGTTGGGGAGGTTACTGGAGGAAATCGGCAAGGAGCAGATTGTCAACGGGAGTTGTTTGTTGGTCCTGTCCTTGCTTGGGCAGAGCCGACTTCATTGTCGCGTGTGCAGGGAGTGCAACCGACTTGCTGCAGTGGACGACGCCGTCCTGGGCGCCTGGACGCTGACCTGGGCGTTTGCACGGCGTCATGGGCACCTGGACAGCGTCCTGGGCGCCTGGACGGCGTCCTGGGCGCCTAGACGCCGAACTGGGCGTCTGCACGGCGTCCTGGGCGCATGGACGGCGTCGTGGGCGCTGGACGCCGACCTGGGCGTCTGGACGTCGACGTGGCGTGATGACGCCGACTTGGGAGGACGCCAACCTTGTGGAATCAACCTGGTTGCACGGTTGACTGAGTTACCCAGGCAACAGGCACTGCGGGGTGCGCGAGTGTCGTCCAAGAGGATCGTGCGAAGCCGACCTAGGTGTGGTATCCCGAGGTCGACGTGGAGGATCAGGTGCAGCCGTGGGCACGTGGTCAGCTTGGCGTCTACGCTGTGAACGTGACGGGGCACAGCACGCCAACCAGATGCGAGCACTTGCGAAGCATGTGCACTGCTGTCCTGCGAGTGCAACGCTGTGCAACCGCATTGCTGCAACGTGGTCACGACACCGACTTGCAGCGCTGGCAGACCGCGACGTTGCACTGCTGGAGCGTGGTCGACCTTGTAGTGTTGGAACGCGGTCAACTGTGCTGTGCTGGCAGTCGGCGTGCATTCTTGCTAGCATTTGGTGTAGTCCATTGTTGCTTTGCATTGTGAACCATTGTTGTCACCCTTTTTGCTAGTGAAACTCTCACAAAATCTCCCTGTAGAAGTGCAAGCAAACGGTGCCCATGCCTACGAGGTTGCGGATCTCCTCGTCCATGGCGGCCTTCACCGCCTTACCCTTCCAGCTCGCCAACGCCTCCTTCACCGTCATCGTCGCGATGTCCCAATGGTGCTCGGGGTCGGCGTGCATGTCGGGGTCGAGCTCAGGTAGGTGAACGTCGTCCTCGGCGTTGTCGTACAGCAGGTCGTCGTTGACCTTATCGTACACCGTAGTGTAGGCAGCCGGCGACAGGCACGCATGGTAGGACAGGAAGTTAGGCGGCCTCCGGACTCTGCCCGAACGCCGTGGTCCAGGCTGAACTTCCACCACATCACTGTCGGTGGACTCCTCGGCGCCCAATTGCTCCCCTCCACCGTCATCCACTCCGCTGCCCTCGACGTCCTGCTGCACCACAGTCGACGTCCCTGCCGACTTCTCCCCGGTAGTCGGCTCCCCTGCCGAATGCCCGGTCACCGACTGTCCCTTGATCGGCTTCACCGCTGGCTGCTCCCCTATCGGCGGCTTCCCTGCTGACGCCTCCTTCGCCTGCTCCACCAAAGTCGGCTGCACCTCCTCGGCCTCCTCGGCTTGCGGCTGTTCTCCCACGCCGACTGGCTTGACGTCATGTCGGCCACCGGCTATACAGTTGGCCGTCGCCACAAGCGACGCCCCACTTCTCCCCGCATCGCCGCTGGCCGACGTCGATGTCAGCTTACGCATGTCGGCTACAAGGGGTGGGGCAGGGGGGGCAGGGGAAGGGGAGGTAGGGCGGACGACCTTGGCATCTCCATCAGCAAGCTCGCCGACCTCTACGAGCAGAGGGTGAGTCGCCGTTGAGGTGTCCGTCGGCGGGTTGACCTGCGTCCACCCCGACGCCGCCCCGTGCTCCGACTTCCACACCTCCAGCGACATCGTCTCGTAGAACACCACGTCTGACATGGTGACCACCCTATTGTCGGTGAGGTCGAGGAGCTCCCAACCCTTGCTCTCCTCCGACACACCGAGGTGAAGTCCCCACCTGGCTTTTGGCTTCAGCTTTCCACCACGCTACTGCTCGGAGACCAGGAACTACGCCATGCAGCCCCACACCCGTGATAGCGACAAGTCTGGCTTCTTCCCGGTGAGCAGCTGGTACGGCGTCGTCCCTGGCGGCAGCGTTGACCTCTCAAGGCAGTTGCGGACCCAGACGGCCTGCCGAAGGATGAGGTGCCACCAGTGGTGCTGCACGCCCATGTGCAGCAGCATCGTCCGCACCGACTCCACCACCGACTGCATCTCCCGCTCCGCCATGCTGTTCTGTTGCGGGGTGTAGGGGCAGGTCAAGTCATGGACGATTCCCTTGCCGTCCACAAAGGCGGTGAACTCCTTTCCGAGGAACTCCCCTCCCCGGTTAGAGCGCAACATCAGCACCGACTTCTTCGCTTGCCGTTTGACCACGACTAGCCACTGCGCAAACTCCCACAGCACGCCTGACTTCTTGGCGGCTGACCTCACCCACACAAAGCGAGTCTTGCGGTCCTTCAGCAGCAACAAGTACAAGCTTCCATCCTTGGCAGCCACCCGGAACGGCCCGCAATTTTCCACGCTCACCGCACCATGCAAAGATAGCTCTAGCAACGGGAGCTAGTCTACGGGCTAGGCACGGGGTGGGAGTGATTTCTTTCTTCCTTAGTTGTTTCCTTGTGTTCTCACTACTTGGTGGTTCACAGGGAAAATTTGCAAGAGATTCATTAAGGAAATTTGACAACAATGGTTCAGAATGATAGCAACAAGATTGGCA